CGGAGTAGAAGTTTTGATTATGATTTTAAAATCTTTATCTGATATTTACGAGGATAGGTGTGTAATGTAAATGAGGGGGTAATTTTTTTTTGATAAAAGTAAATCAGTAGCTTCTTCTAGTCATAGCGTCCACGGACTTAGTAAACAAGGATTGATAATTAACTTGTATGCATTCTAATTCTAGATTTGATACCATTTTTGGTGAATTGGATACTTATATGCATCCTAATTCTTTTTAATAAGCTAATGCGCAAGATTTTGAGGATTTTTTGTTGTTGAGAGGGAGACTTTTAACCATCATGGCGTGTGATATATTGACGATCCAAGCTAATATGGTTGTTTCTAACTCAACTTTTTTCGTCCTGGGATTAGTCGGCTCGTATAGCGAGTTAGATATCCAGGTTAATAAAAAATAAAATAAAAAACTCAGTTTTTTTGTGAATGACAGAATTATCTCGCTTTGGAGAACAAAACTTGGTCTAGAGTCTTACATGTATTTGATGGATTATTTGAATAACATTAAAAAAACCCAACACCAAACAATGCTAGAATTAGAGATGAACGAAGTGCAAGAAGACATCGAACAAATCGAAATTGCTAAAAACCTAAGAACCTTGCAAGCAATCGATACAGTCAACGCCTTCAACGACAATATATATATATATATATATATATATATATATATTAAAGATGATATTGATGAAGATAATATCTAAGACGAAGTTGATGACAAAGATATTAGTGAAGACGATGAAAAAGGCATAAAACGGAGATTGAATACACAAATGAAACTAAACAATTGTTTTCATCGTATAGCAACAAAAATCTACCTATGCATCGATATCTAGGTAGGGATTGTAAAAACGTAAACTTGCAAAAATAAGACTAAAACGTTGTCAGAATAAATTTTAATAAAAAACATATTTTGAAGTTTATTTTAGTTGCTCAATTGGGACACGTGATTTAGTAGAAAACGATTACGGAAAAAAAGACAAAAAAATCCATTCTTTTTGAAAACGAGCCGGTTAAAAGGACATGTTTAGAGATCAGTTATATAACCCGTGGTTCGATCGAACTCTACCAATTAGCATACATCATCAAGAGGACCACTTACCGAGTTTTCCCTTTTAACCGAGATCAGCCTATACCCGTTTTTTGTCCATTTCTACTTGCCAGGCTGCCATATTCGAAGATTCATAGGATGTTCACAAAATATCTTTTAAAGTCCAACTTGAGGGAAGTATTAGACTTGTATATTTATGCACATAGTTTGTTACAAGTTAATTAGTTTCTAATAGCAAGCGGCACTTAGTTCCCTGCAGTCATTTAACTTTGTCTTTGTATATACCTTCTACTATCAACACATTATGCAAGAAAAAGACTTGGTTTTCCCACACTTTCTACTCTCCAATAATCATTCTCTTCGGCAACAACAAGTATCAATTGGGTACGATTTTTCCAATTGATCTAACAAAGTTTCAAAAGTTCTTTTTTTATATTCAATATAATAACATGTTGATCTTGTAATGTATGATGATGTGCATATTCGTCTATGAAAGGTTTACGAAAGATGGCGGAATAGACGATAAAGTTGACGTCCACGTTATCCAATATTTCAAGATCAACAGATTACAACATTAAGAACATTTTATGACTTCATACATGCTATTAGTATTCAATAGAACCTGTAAGATGACCGGACAACAAAGATTCCATGGGAGAAAACCGTAAAATTGTAAATGGCAAAGCTTATGAAGAAAAGGAGTTGGAATTACAAGTTACCAAATGAACCATTACCACGATGCGAGTCTTTCCTTTTGGGGGGTGGGTCATGAGTTTGACGGACCACGTTGTGGCAATGCAAAATACTTCTTTATTGTGTTTTTCATGTGGTGAAATTGGGCATATGAACTTATACTATTTAATTATTTTCATTTAAAGGAGTATTTTGATTGACATTTGACAGCTTATAACTAAATCTTTGTATTTAAAATAATCTTTATTTTATTTTATTATATTTTAATGTTTCGCATCTATTCTCTTTTTATTTAAATAATCTTATACTTTTTGTGTTTTAAAAGTTTACGATTTTTTATCTGAATTATTATATAATTCTATGAATCTTGGAGTCATAAAGATTTTGTGTTTAATTCTGTTTTTCTTAAGAGGATTTTATGTGATATTTCAGATAGTACAAAAGACTCACATGTTCCCCGAAATCCAAGAAAATTTTCACACATTTTAAAAGGCTTCTTTTATTTTTATTTTATTAGAAGGAAACTCGTACAATGCAACGAGATATATGTTAATTTTAGTGTTTTGTTTTATTTGTTGTCTTTATTGATATAATATGATTTATGTGGTTTTGAGAAAGATAATGTTTTTTACGATTTAATGAAGTAATTTATTTTTTATTTAACAATAAAATTTTATAAATATAATGATTATCCTAATTTTATTTTAGATTTTTTATATAAAAAATAAGATGTTTATCCTATATTTGATTATATCTACAGTTAGTCATACGAATTGAAAAATGAAGCTTTAATAAATTGTACTTACACATAATTTACTTGTAATCTTAAATTTTAAGTAATATGTATTAATACACGATATTTATGCATAAAGAATGATTTTTAAGAGTTTTTATCAAATGATTTATAATATAGTATAAATAAGTTAATTTCATTTATTTTTTTACTCTTAATTCTTTTATTTTATTTTTAATTTATCAATAAAATGATTTCCATTTTCCAGATATTTTAGGTGCTGACTTTTCTTTCAATGTACAAAACTAGATATGAAAAAGAAATGTTTCTAACATACAATGATTAAAAATATTTTAAAGACTTCAATGATAATCACATAATTTATTAACATTAACTGTTTACCCAAGAAAAAATAAGTTGTTCATAACATTAAAAAACATAATCATTATATTATCTCTTATTTTTTTTATTTTTACGTACTTAATTTAAATGATATGACGTAAATGACACATCATTTTGATGACATGACCTAAATAAGATATCTTTTTGAAAGGTAATGGTTTTCTTATTTTTCCTTTTGAGGATGTAAAAACATGTTAAATTAAAAAAAAACAAATTTATTAAATTGTATGTAAATTAAATATATAGAGTAAAATATTTTTTTAAATAAATATATGATATATTAT